TAAGTCGAGTCAAACTTGTACCCAAGTAACTATATTGCGATCCTGAGAGCAAGGATGACGAAATATCTCATCCACAACTTAGTGTTATGTGTAATACTGTACATTTGGGGTGCAGTGTGATGAATATACGATGTGCCTTTATGTAACACAGCAGCTTATGCTCTTGTATAGTTATTCAGTGGTAATGTAGGGGCCTGGTCCATCCAGGGTCTATTGTTAAGAAACATGTTATCTAACACAATGTTCTGATGCTGTGGTGTTCATTCATTGTGTTGGTGTTTCCGGGTTATAACAGATGCTGTATCTGTGCTGTTTTCTCACCAGCTTTACCTCGTTAAATTCAATAAATGACGTTTGCAGTCGGACGTTCATCCTGGCTCTGAGGGTTTATTGGACGCGAGGTTAACTACTGAGCTCGCGGTGCAACGCAGCGCACAGCGAGGCCGAGACACATTTGAACACTGATATTGTCCAGAATGTTATAAAACATTATTTTCCTCTCATCTTTGATCGGCTGTTTACTTAGTGTTGGTGTACGGTGCTTTTTTGTGTAGATTCAACTTTATACTTTGACCGTCAAACCAACCATATCAGTTCATGTAACTTTCACCTGAAGGCTCTCAGACACCTACATCCTTTCATCTCCACTGAAATTGCCAACACATTGGCAGGTTGCATAGTTTGGTCTTGCCTTGACTATTGCAACTCCGTCTTAGTCCGGACCTCCACTGGCAACCTAAAAAAACTTCAAAGGCTACAAAACAACCGAGCACGCGTCGTCATTGGCCACACTCATCCCCGTCTCGACTCACTTGCCTGTCTCCATGCCCTCAACTGGCTACCCATCTCCAGTAGGGTCATATTCAAGATCGCCTGCCTCTGCCACAATGCCTTCACATCTGACTGCCCGCTGTACCTTTCTTCATTATTGACAACTTGCAGCTCAGCACACGGCAGATGCCTGCGCAGCGCGCCTCATGACCTCCTCTTGATACCAAGATCCAGGATGGTTATGTCTATGTGCCGCTTCTCGGTGGCAGCCCCAACAGTCTGGAACGCTATCACCCCTCTGCACATTCGCAGCATCACCTCAATCGCCTCCTTCAAGAGAGACTTAAAAACTCACCTCTATAACCATGCTTTCGAGCGACTCTGAGCTTGGCTCCGCGTCTCTGAGTTGTGGCCGTTACGTCCGCAAATTTGCGCACGTTATAAATTGCATTATTATTGTATCTGGCGTTCCACAACTCCCATTGTGTCGCAGACTCGCGCACAGCAGAATCCGATGTCCATTACTTTATTCTGCAGCACACGAAAAAGTGCATCGGTTTCATTGACAATGCCCTCATATGCCATTCCGAGGAAGCAGGTTGATGCTTTTGACAGCCAGAGATCATATCCGGCGGCCATCATCAGAGTGTCATTGTCCCAATCATCGGGATTTTCGCTCAATCCGGAACACAGCACGCAGATCAGATTGGTACACGCTAATCATCTGCACGTGTACAGAATTTGAGCTCCATCTTGTGGACGCTGCTCTTAGTAAATGTCGCTTCACAACATCATCCAGTAGGTGGGTGTGCTTGATCGACTTATTGAAAAACGTCGCAAGTCCCTCAACTGTTTAAAAAAACTTTTACACTCAGGCATACATTTTGCTGAATGCGAGAGCACCAGGTTCAATTTGTGTGCATACACGTGGCTTCGTGTACCTTTTATTTAATCTTGGCCTGCACCGCATTAAGATCTGATGCCATCACAGAGGCTCCGCCATAAGTCTGAGCTACCAACTTTTCAACGCAATTGTGTTTCCCAAACACTCCCAAAACATAATCAGCAATAGCCGGTGCTCGTCTGTCATCACTCACATCATTAAATCCCAAGAACGCTTCCCTCACCTCACAAGTCACCTCACTTTTAGCCACATAACGCAACATTACAGAGACCTGGGCTTTGTTTGTGACATCCGTTGTCTCGTCTACTTCGGATGCAACAAATGGGGCTGCATTAATCTCCTCTTTGATATAATTTCTAATTGCATCACCGATTGCTTCAATTAAATAGGTCTGTATTCTGTTTGATAAGCCAGAAAACACAGTGGATGTCTCCAAATGTCGAGCTAACTTTGAATCTTTCTCAGCAAAAGCATGTAATAGCTCCACATAGTTGCCACGATTAGAAGAGCTTGCACCTCTCATCGTGACCACGAAATGCTAATTCCTGTTTGGCGAGGAAGCAGGTTGCATTAATAAGGTCTTTTAAATCTTCATTTGAAGCTTTCGTGACTGCAGGAATCCATATTCTTTGGCTCTTTCGGTAAAGTAACGTAGATAGAAAATTAATAGATCACGATGTTTCGATCGCAACACGAAGGTCTTTTAAAATCTCACGGTTTTCCTTTACTTTAGCATTGTGGATGCTAATATTTAATATCCGATGTTCATTCAAAGCCAGATCTGTCCTTGAAGTTCCAAAAGTCTTAAAGCAATTTGGCTTTAAATGTGAGTTGTTAATTTTTCATGTTTGTTGAGGCTCCTTGGTAGATTTTTCAAGTAGAGCAAGCCTCCTGGCTAAGGTGCTCTGCAAGCCTCCTGGCTACCATCAAAGGTTTGTACACGAAGCCATCCAAATATACAAACACAGACATAATTTCAACCGTGATGATGGGTACAAACTTAGTAATCATTGGAAAGATGTTATTAATCATGCAAAAACGATTTAACTACACATTTGGAGCATTCCTGGCAGCGATTTCAGCCGCACCACCCCTACATAATAATAGGCTCAGTCAACCATTCTACACAACAAAGACTCATTTCTTGGCAGCGAGTTAAGCCGCACCACCTCTACATAATAATAGGCTCAGTCAACCATTCTACACAACAAAGACTCATTTCCTGGCAGAGATTTCAGCCGCATCATCTCTACATAACAAAAAAGGCTCAGTCCCTTTTACACGCACCTTTACATCATCCGCACCTAGTTTACACAACAAAGGCCCATTCCTAACGGCATGTTTCAGCCGCACCGAACCTCGCAAAAATAATATTCAGGGCCTACTTTGGCTCCGCCCACCCTCAACCAGTATATATACAAATACTGTGTTCTTGGAATTTCTCTCACTTGATACAGCTATCGTGCTGTGACGGTTCCACCTGAAGACGGAAGCTTGTGTTGCCTCCGAAACGTTGTTATTTTTATTTTATTTTTATTTTACTTTCATTAATTGAAATTTTTTTACCTACGTGACTTTACCGAAAAAACCTAAGAACATGAGATATAAATTAACACATTATAGCTGTGTAAATTTTTTTTCTTCATGTTACGGTAATATTAATAATTTTGTATCACCGTATTTTCCCGCCTATAACCCGCAGGGTATACCACTTTTTACAAACAAAACAAGACCCTGCGGGGTATATGGCTATCCCAAAAGTATTTTACACGTGTGACATTTCATGACTCGTTAAATGTTTTCATGTTTACTTATATACCAGTTATGTGTCACTTATTTATTGGATATTTACTTTTGTTACTTATTTACTGTTTTAAGTTCACTCGTTTCCAGTTAGTTTGTTTTCTTTGTGCACGTTATGATTTTAATGTTAACAATTGATAGTGGAATGTATTACAAATGTAAACTTCGTATTAATATGATGGAATTAAGCTGCGGTAACGACGTTAAATATATGAATGCATGCGGGATATATGGAGGTGCGGGTTATCTGAAATTAGTTTTACACAACGCAATTTTTGCGGGGTATATGCGTATGCGGGGTATATGCAGGAAAATACAGTAAGTGCTGCCATTTAGAGATAAGTGATTGCGTTGTGTCGGTAAGGGTTTGCGGCTGTAGCGGCCCTTGCGAGCTCCCCCACCTCGTTCCGCCCCTTTCTCGGTTCGGTGCTAAGTGTTGGGGGAGGTGTCTCATGGGCAGAACGGGGAGACTCACGGGAGGGGGAGGAGCCCCGTGGAGAGTGACAGGAGGGAAGTGGCCGATGGGCGGTCAGTGGCACCGAGATGTGGCCCTGTGGCACAACTGCGTGGTCAGCCAAAATGCCGTGTCTCTGGGTGATGGTCGTACCCCGCTTTCATTGTGTGCCTTCCAGGAGGGAGAGTTCACCCTTGATGAACCTCCCCGGACTCCACATTGCTGCAACCTGTGACCAATGGGCGTACGACATCTACAGCCCTGCCGATGACGGAGGTTGGGAGTCCCGAAGGCACGAATGATTTCTGGAAGATGAAATCCTTGAGAGTTCGACGTCTACAGTACCGCCGAGTACAGAGGCTATGAGTCTCACAGGCATTCACGCTGCTGCAACTAGTGACAGACGTGTTCCCACTGAATCAGAGCCCGGGAGTTTGAGGCTGCAAGCGGCTCCTACATCAGAGCTCAGGAGTCGGAGGCAGTAACCTGATCTAGCACGAGGCCCAGGAGGAGTTTCTAGAGTTGAGACCCCCAATGTGTGGTGGGGGTGACTTTTCTGGGGAGACGCGAGTGGGTTGATTGTTTTGTGAATGTTTAGTTGTGTTTCGTTTTGCTACATTTTCATTCCTAAAAGTCCGGTGTTTCTTCATTTCGGTCGGGCTGCGCTGAGCAGTGGCTGTACCCTGGCAGCTGGGTGGGCTGGACTGCTTCACGAGGGGTTGAAAAGAGGTTCTTTCAGACGCTGATGGACCCAACACTATGACAGGGGGCTGGGTGGTCTGTGGGCCAAACAAAGTTCAAGAAATATACTGCTCTAGACATTATCGTGAAGGCCATTCCACCAGCAATGGCGTGAGCGAGGAACTGCATGGCCCAATATTTGACTGACATCCGCTCACTGTGCTGCTTTCCTAATCCGCGCAGGAGCCAACTTGGCAGGCATTCCTTTGAACAGATGACCAAGGTGGGTACGTTCAACTACGTGTTTCCTCTTTGCCGGTTGCACCATAAATTACTCGGCATATATTTACTGTTTCAACACTCAAGTCGACGCACACGGAAGACGCAAGCCGACCGACCCAGAGTGCTGCCTTCTCACAAGGTAAACACTTGTATCACAGTGAATGATTTGATTGCTTTTCAAGAGAAGCACTTTAAGACTATTGAGCAGTGACTTGCCAGAGTCTCCGATGCAATCGCACCTCGCAATCGCTTCCTTTTCCTCGACGCACCAAGCTATTTCACAGCCGACAGCCTCCTCGTTGCGTTCTTAAAGCAGCCTCCAATTTCCCGATTGTTCCTAATGTTGGGCTGTCATTAATCCCGTTTTGACACGTAACAATGTACAAGACCATCATATGACAATACCTGTCGCTTTGTTTGATTATATATGTTAGATCTCCGACAATATGTTTAAAAAACTAATGTTATGAATACTCAATTACTGAAATTAAACCGTATGGTGTACGGGTAGTTGATACGTTTGATTATCAAACATGTACATATGCCACAATAAGTTCCATTTTAAGTGATTATTTGTACAACATAGTTTAATGAAAAAAATAAAAAAGGAGCTTGGGTAAATAGACAAGTGGAGGGAATTAAAATTTGGAGCACTGAAATAGAAGAAGCAGAGATGCTGTAGCCTGCAGCATGGTGGTTGAACACAGTGCAGATGAGTTGTAACAGTCTGTTAGACTCAGTCCTCAACACATGAGTTGGAATGAGTGATATATACCGAAACATTTGCTAAAGTTGCTAATGCGACCATAAGCACATTGATAATCCATCACCGCATTGTTTGTTCAGCTGTGTAACTGGTAGAGAAGCCCGACGATCGTGACGATGAACCCAAGCGCAGCTCCCAATGGGTCAGGTTCCTGCTCAATGGATGACTCCTACAAGTACCCCATCTACTCGGCGGTCTACGGCATCATCTGTATCATCGGGATGATGGGCAACGCCATCGCGCTCTACGTCTTCCTGTGTCTTACGCGGACCAAGAGTGCCAGCACCATCTACCTCATCAACCTGGCCCTCGCCGACATGTTCTTCGTGCTGACGCTGCCACTTCGCGTCGTCTACTACGTGCGCGACGGCGACTGGCCGTTCGGGGACGCGATGTGCCGCATCAGCTCGTTCACCTTCTACGCCAACCTGTACAGCAGCATCTTCTTCCTCACCGGCCTCAGCGTGACGCGCTACCTGGCCGTGGTTCACCCCGTGCGCTCGCTCAAGGCCGTCACGGCGAGGCATGCGGTCATCGCCTGCGTGTCCATTTGGGTCTTTGTTACCCTGATCACCTCCCCATTCCTTCTCAGCGGCCAGCACGTCTTATCGAGCGGGAGGACCCTGTGCTTCGAGAGCTCGGGCAGCAGCCTGAAAATGATTTTTGCCATGAACTACCTCGCCCTGGTGGTCGGAGTCCTCATCCCGTTCGTGATCATCGTCGTCTGTTACGCGGCCATCGCCCGGACGCTGATGAAGACCCCGGAAGGCCAGCGCAGGGACTCCAACATGCGGAAGCGCGCGGTGCGCATGATCGTGCTGGTGCTCACGGTGTTCGTGGTCTGCTTCATCCCGTACCACGTGCAGCGCACGCTGCTGCTCCACAAGATCATCAACCACCACAGCAGCTGCGACACGAAGCTCTACCTGCAGAAGTCGGTGGTGGCCACCGTCTGCTTCGCCGCCTTCAACAGCTGTCTCGACCCGCTCATCTACTTCTTCGTCGGCGAGAAGTTCCGCGAACGGTTCATGAGCGCCGTGCGGAGGTACGGACAAGATTTGGACTTGCTCGTGTGTTTTTCGAGGTGGCGTGCTGCACAGCTCTCTCCCATGTGTTGTCGCGTTTCTTTTTTGTCTTACCGAATAATACCGCGATGTTTCATTGCACGTACCGAGAGCTGCTCCAGGAACTGAGTATCTAGTTTGAGTTGGACTGATGGAGTGGCCTCAAAAGTGGACGGGGGCTAGAATGCTGCTTTGGGCGTGACGTTGAAAGTGGCGCAGTGGGGGTCATAGCATGACATATGGTATCTCCTCTCTCCCTTGAGACCAGAACATTGGAATTTTGTTGAAATTTACCAGATGCCGTTTATTGTATAACTAGCAACCTACACGTCATTTGGCCATGACCATCAGTCTATTCCTTTGTACCCTCTTCTACCTCTCCCTTGCTCTTCTCCGTCCACTCTATTTGACCCACTTAAACTATGAACTCAAACTTTTTTTACACGCTTTTTATTAACTCACTCTGTCTGTTGTTTCCTCAAATCTTGTAACTCAATTTTAACCCATTTCCCAATGTGGTATCGACTGCAACTTGTCCACGCTCAACTGACGTTGGCTGTAAATCACGACGGCCCCTTACGTTATGCCAAGCTTCGGGGCCACTTCCTGGAGTCGTGGAGTTATCCCATTGCTAGTACGATACATATCATTAAAGCGTGTTTTAAAAAAAGTTTTTTTTTAAAATATGACTTATTTTATTTTAGCAGGTAAGGGCCACTGAGCTATATAGCTCGTTTTTCACAAGCGACCTGGCCACAAATGATAGCTCAACGAAGTGCTTTATCACGTGGAAATTCATAGCAGCCAAATATTCTTCAACGCATATTGATTTTAGATGTGGAGGAAAAAACCAGAGAACACGGAGAAAAATCCACGCAACCACAGGGAGAGCACGCAAACTCCAAATATGTGTGTCAGGGTCGGGATCAAACTCAAAACCTCCTGCATACCAGGCGATGTAGTTAACATCTCGCCACCGCAGGGCTTCCCTCCCCCTATCTCCCTGTTTCTCTCACCTCTCACCCTTGTTCTCCTTATTCCCACCTCTCCCTTTCCTCCATCTGCTTGTCGCTTTCCCTCGCTCTCCCCTTCCCATTTCTATCTCTCTTTCCTCTCCGATTCATGCCCTTTCACTCTATCCCCACCGCTCTCCTCTTTGTTCCAGATGTGTGGGGTGACTTCAACCACCGCACGCAAGGAATCTGGCTACGCAGGCAGGAATACAGCCATCAAATAAAACATATAAATTGTATAGTTAATGTAGGGCCCTATTTAAAAAGTTTGACATTTAGGGACCAACCCTTCCTTTCTACCCATCCCTAGGAAGTTTGGAGATCTATCTCTGAGGAATGGTCACCACGTTTTATTTGACATCATGCGGCAGATTCTTGCAAAAAATGCACACACATTGGACACATTGCGGAGGTCGTGTGGCCAATACATTGCCCAACCACCTTTATCTTCCTAGTGCTGTTAATCACTGCACCGGGTACTCATGTAAAGCTAGGTTGACATAGGAAGAGAGGTCAAACATCTGTTCTGATATCACTCGCCACTAAAGTAAGCCATAGCGATGAATCGAAATAAGGATGCCGAGTTCATCTGTTTCCCACTCACGATGTCTCTCACTCAAGTCAACGTTGCTTTTGCCCCGAGTTGCAAAGTCTTCTGGGAAAAGAGCAGCATCCACGTTCCGGCCATTCGGGTGTCTCCCTCCTCTCTGCGTGCTGGGCAGCGCATGGCCAGCCAGCCAAACTTTTTTTTTACATATAATGGTATCATCATGCCCTCTTCACGCCTTCCCTTGCTTGTATTGCTGATGGATGGATGGATGGAGTGTTCCTCCCATGTTCACGCGTGAAAAACATTTCCCTCCCACAGGCGCTCACGAATCTCCTCCGCCACCAGCTCCATCCGCACCAAAGAATCCCTCGCCAGAAGCACGACCAGGGATGCCGCCAAGCTTCACATGCAGCCACTCGAGGGCGATCCTCTACAGAAGGAGGAGCCACAAGAGGAGACCGACGAGTGAAAGGCGTCTAAGTGAGACTCCGCACCAGACGAGTGTTTAGCGATGGATGCCCAACGCTGGCTGGGGAAACAATGGATGATAATTGTCTTTTACCATATCGATACCACGCGTGTGATGATTTTTGTACCGTGCAGCTATGCTTACCATATTTTCTCGCATATAGCCCGCATATGCATAGAACCCACAGACGCATATACCCCGCAAAAATAGCGTTTTGCGTAAAACAAATTTCAGATAGCCCTTGCACCTCCATATACCCCGCATGCATTCATATCTTTAACGTCGTTACCGCAGCTAAATTCCATCATATTAATACGAAGTTCACATTTGTAATACATTCCACTATAAATTGTTAACATTAAAATAATAACGTGCACAAAGAAAACAAACTAACCATAAACGAGTGAACTTAAAACAGTAAATAACTAACAAAAGTAAATATCCAATAAATAAGTAACACATAACTGGTAGATAAGTAAGTACATTTTTAGCACTTATAATTTGAGCACTGCGCAGACAATAGCGGCACTACAGTAACGCCGTTGCCTCGCCCCCCCCCACCTCTCTCTCCCCCCAGCTCTCACGTCACCACCACAGATCACTACCACAAGTAAATATCCAATAAATAAGTAACACATAATTCTAGATTTGAAGTTTTCGTGACTGCAAGGATTCATACTCTTTCGTTTTTTCGGTAAATTCACGTAGGTAAAAAATTTAAATAAATTAAATCACAACGTTTCGGAAGCAACACAAGACTCCGTCATCAGGTGTAACTGCTCCAGTAAAATTCCTGTACACCTGATGACGGAGGCTTGTGTTGCTTCGAAACGTCGTGATTTCTATTTTGTTACCTACGTGACTTCACTGAAAGAGACTAAAAGTAACACATAACTGGTAGATAAGTAAATCTTCTTGGTTCTTTCGGTAAAGTCACGTAGTAGGGAAGTAATAAAATAATAAAAATAAAACATAATAAAATAATATAATAAAATAATATAATATGTTGTATTTTTATTATTTTATTACTTCCCTACTACGTGACTTTACCGAAAGAACCAAGAAGATGAATCCCTGCAGTCACGAAAGCTTTAAATCGAGATAAGTACAGATTTAGCACTGGTAGATTGCGCACTGCGCAGACAATAGCAGACAATGGTAACGCCGTTGCTTCGCCCCCCCACCTCTCTCTCCCCCCATCTCTCCCGTCGCCGGTAAACAAAGTGCGCCCACTTCAAACATTGTCGTTTAATTGTACAAACAATTAGAATAATTTAAAACGTGATAACAATTTTAGTGCGAGTGGTTTATTCAACAGCGCTTTAGTCAAAGGTAAGTGTTGCATAGTGGATAGTCCTACCATGAAAAAATTAAACGAGTCATGACATGTCACAAAACGTGGAAAATATGTTTGGGATAGCCCGCACTTCCATATACCCCGCAGGGTCTTGTTTTGTTTGTAAAAAGTGGTATAACCCGCGGGTTATATGCGGGACAATACGGTATTATACTGCTGGATGAAGGCGCTCCCCAAGCTACTGCTAACTCTCAGCATGCTGCGATGTAATGATCCACATAGCACCCGCACAAGAGCTGATTTCATCGCTCCATCTCCTTATTAAAGGATTAATGTCTTAACGCTGAACCCCTGACTTTTTTATATTGAACTTAATAAATATGGGTGACCATTTTCTTTTGCTGTACAAATGTATTCTATTGTACATTTGCTTGCATCCATGTGGACAGTCTTGTCAATCCACATCTGGATGATTTCCTCTGTACGTCGTTCAGGTCGTGCAGATAGTTTTACCATACTTCCCCACGCTGATCAGTGCAGGTTGGTGACAGTGGTGATCATAGACGTGGGAGTTGGGATTGGTAAATTGTGTGTATCCAGGACCAGTTCTGATATCATTCACCACGAAAGTTGGCCAATCTGATCAATTCGCTGCTTTTCGATTTGGTTTTACCCGTGCCCATCTCTGCTCATGCATCATTCCATGAATTTTTCTAAGATAAAGGGCATTTCACCAACATCTTCATCTGATACATTCTTAGTGTACGTTACTGAAACTATAAATTCCCCTTACCAAGACAACTTGTGTGGACTCCATGGCATGGATTGTACAGTGTATGTATTTTGCAAAAATAAAAACTTAGCTTTTAATCATTTGTATTACTGCGCGTTTTTCTACGTTTCAAATACGTTTTCTGTGAGGAGAAAATTTAAATTTTACTTTAAACATTTGTTGTACTGCTTTTGTGTGTCTAAAACAATAAATCTATATTTTTACGTGCCAATATGACCCCCAATAGAATAGACATCGGTGTACATTTAAATATGTAATCCAATAAACATTATGAATCTAGAATAAAGATGTACATTTAAATAAAAGCTGATCAAAATACAGTTGACTCAATGGCCTTTCATTGGTAATTGTAATCTATGTACCTATACTGTATCTATATAAACACAGTGGACCAGCTAACCAGTGTAGTACGGGCGTGTCTCGCTTAACGAGTGAGATAGGTTCCACGAAAATTGCTCGGTAAGCGAACCACCAGTGAGTGGTCCACCGCGGTCCTCCAGGTGGTCCGCGGGCTGTGAAACAAGTGCAGGCTGTTCCGTAATTAATGATAAGCCTTTTGTTTCAGACGTTAATTTATGTTTTACTTGCATTTTATTACATAAAAAGTTCGGTAAACTACCCTGATTAAGCTACCCTAACCCTGAGATATAAATGACCCTCCAGCACAAAAAGCACTCTATAGTTGTGTAAAAAAATGTGCTTTTTATGTTCCGATAATATGAATAATTTTGTGTTAAGTGCTGCCATTTCGAGATAAGTGATTGCGTTGTGTCGGTAAGAAGTTGCGGGTGTAGTGGCCCTTGCGAGCTCCCCCACCTCGTTCCGCCCCTCTCTCGGTTTGGTGTTTAGTGTTGGGGGAGGTGTCTCATGAGCAGGACGGGGAGAATCACAGGAGAGGGAGGAGCCCCCGGGAAGAGTGACAGTAGGGGAGGGGGCCGGGAGAGAGGAGGGAGAGATCAAGAGACGGTGAATAACGGGATCGAAGTAGTTATTGCCTATAGTAGTCGCTTCTTTGTCACAATCAGAGCAGCGATATTGTGTTACCCGGCGGGAGCTGCTAGAAATGGTCTGATTCATGCAGCAGGACAGGCCCTACCTTTACGGCAGGGACTTCATGGTCCGCACTGACCTCAAGGCCTGGTTTCTGTACCCTTCCTCAAGCCATCTCGCCATCTCGCCATCCGGGGAAACAGATGCTTTCAATTGCCCCTAAGTGTGTTTAACTAGTTTTTCAACTTCCTGTAATAATTAATCTGTAAGGAGGAGGGATTCCTTTTGTCTGGCTGCGTTCTCCTCTTCCCTGCCGGTTGGAGGTGTGACATTTTCTTGTCTCTCACAAAGAGGGGCGCCGTCTCTTGAAGTGTGACCTCCCGTTACCATATTTTCCATTCATTCTTATGGGTTGTAAGTTGAGAGAAAAATAAACATTATTTCCCACCCCCTATCTTAGTGTAGAGGTGTTATTCCGCACTCCCCATGTTGTCAGCGGTTCTTTCGGTAAAGTCGCGTAGATAGAATAATAATAAAAATAATGTGAATAATATTAATATTAAAATAATATACGAGAAATAATAACCCACTAAATGTAGATTGTAGCCTGGTTCTTCATTTGAGTGCAGTCTATAATGTCGACTTATTCTCATAGCCAAGCTTCGAACTTTTACTGTTGTACTAAAAGAAACCAAAAAAAGTTGTCTGTTAGGTTCTCACCGCCCGGGAAGAATCGTGGCGCTTGCAGCTTGTACGTGTTTTGTGGCAGCCTTTGAAGCCCGATAGAGATTTCCCCCGACACTAATTAGCAACTCCCACTCCCCCTTTTGCACCGGGTTTTTTAAAATTTCCTTTTATGGCTACGTCCTTGCCTGGTGTGGCTTGTGATAGGCAGCTACTGTTTGAGGGGAGGGGGTTCCCATCACCCCCTTTGTGTCCCAAGCGACACCCTGATCGATTATTACAATTAAATAAAAATTGGCAGAATTTATCTTAATATACATTTTGGAAAAGGGGGGATATACACAACAGTTCCTGCACGGTTACGTCTTGGACAAGGGTGCCCCAGAGCAGCTCAGTGGCCAAGGTCGTAATAAAGTTAGGACATCCACATACCATCCTCAGACAGAAGGAATGGTAAAATGACGCTGTCTTCCCGACAGACCTGTTCTTCACCTGAGGATGGCTGCTTGCGTTGTGGCCAAAACGTCGTAAGAATTATTTTATTATGTTTTATTATTATTTTATTATTTCCCTTCTACGTGACTTTACCGAAAGAACCAAGAAGAGAAAATGGTAAAATGGTTGAACAGAACGATATCATCCATGCTATGTCAAGTGGTAAATGAGGCACAAACGAAACGGTTTGGAACCTGCATGTCCCATGGGTTTTGGCGGCATATAGGATGACTCCACACGCCTCTACGGGATTCTCCTCGTTTATTATGATGTACGAGCAGGAGCAGGAGTCCCCCATAGAGGCTCAACTGGGTAAAGCCTCCAATACCGTGCCGCTGCAGGTTACGCTCAAGCGGGTGACGGAAGCACATGCGGCGGCGAAGGAAAATACCACCAGGCCACAAGCCTGCTTATGAGAGAAACATAGGGCATCGCGATAAGGCGTCGTGATAAGGCATGGCTGCAATGCCTCCAGGTGCCATTGCGTACCTCGCCTAAACTCCGTTGTGATTGCCGGTCGAGATTGTAGAGGTGAATTGGCCACAGTGCGTGCGAGTACAGGTGGGGCGTCACCGTTGGTTCATTCACCCATCGCGCCTCAAACCATACATCCATCCTCGCCCAAACATCTCATCTCCATGTCCTGTACTGCCGGGGTTTGGAGTGTCCGACGTGGTAGGGCAGCCGCCCAAAGTAACTGTGCGACCCGAAAAATGCATTGTGCCGACCAAAGACTGCCACCCTCTGAGTCTGCTACGTGCGATGGACTTGCGTCAAGGACCCGGTCAAGAAGTGTACACCTGCTTTGAAGGCTCTCCAAACCATGAAGTTGTGTTGTTGTTGTTCAATTGCTGTAGTCGCGCGGCGGATTTTTCTTGGATGCATGTGTGTTTTGTCATTCTGCCCTAATTGTATACATTTGTGCAGTTCTTAGTATTAGCCGCGACAGCTACATTTGTAAAGGGGGGGAGTGATGTAATGACAGTGGAGTCAACCTACGGTGTGAGTGTACTAGTGGCCATGGGAGGTAATGGCAGGGGAGTCAGCTTGCAGTGCGAATGGACCGGTGGCCACCAGAATGATCGAGAATAGGGGCATGGCCAGGTGAATTAAGAGGACAGTAGTAGAACGAGTGGTCTAGGGCCAGCGAGAAGGTTCGAGAATAGGGCTGTGGCCACGGGACAGGGGCGTGGCTATGCACCGTATATAAGGGGAAGAGGCGAGAGACTCGGGGCTGCTGAAGTGGGGTCTCCGCCTGTCCGAGTGTGAGCACATGCTCCCTAATAAAGACAACATCTCAAGAACAAGTGCGTCCAAGTCGTCTTTATGCTTAGGTGGAAT